AAAACAAAAGAAAACGGAAATAAAAGAAAGAGAAAAAAATAAATTTTTATTCATATAATTTTCTTTTGATCACACGTATATAAATAATTAAATAATTGCGAGAACTTAGGCGTGTACGTAAAAAAATATAAAATAACAAAAATAATATATGTGTTTCTTATCGTTTCACGCAGTCTTATATAAAAAAAAAAAATATGCAATTGATCTACGACAAAATCGATTGCGCTGATAATCGAAATACGTCGCATTGATTACATCGTGTGACTAGATCAGGTATAGGAATTTGTAAATCGTTTCCAAAATGACTAGACATGCTAATTAATTCCCCTAATTTCATGAAATGTACACTCTATAATACCGTATGCACTTGTCGAACGCTTGTACGCTTGTATCTCGTTGTTATTGTACATGAATTACACGGTGTACATGTAGGTATATACGTAAATTCATATTCGTATTATTCACATACGAAATACACTTAACCTACGACGTTCTTAATATAATCAATAATATATATTAATGAACAATATATATATGTATATATATGTATATATATATGTATATATATATATATATATACTTTTCATATTTGTTTGTTGGTTTACGGGTAAAATTTTGATTTTGCGCTCAATTACGTTATAAAGGCAATGCTGATTTTGGACATGTGAGCCGTTAAGCTTTCTCTCTTCGCTAAAATCTTCTTTTACTTCTCAATTTCGACATGCGTCGATATTCGTGGTATTACAATTATTTAGCGATCGTCCAAAATTCCGTCAAATTATAAATCTAAATGTACTGTACGTAGAGAAGAAAAATTGAATACCTATATCGATACAAATACTTTCTCAATGAAGAAAAATCATACTGCACGAGTCTTTGGTCATTAAGTCTTTGGTGTTCGATAAAGAGAGCGGTAATCATACATCTATTCGAGAAAATTTAACGGCACATAGAATTTTTTAAAAATAAAATAATATCCCAACAGATTACTTTTACGGTAGAGAAATGATAAAAGTAATATTTGTTTGATAATTATCATTGTTTTGCTTAATAATATAATATTTCAATCCGTCATAGATATCTGAATCTTTTTCTGATATTTTACACTGATGAGACTGTTGTGCTTCTTACACCCGAAGCACCAAAGAAATTATTTCATATCCGTTACGATCGCTCGCTGTTATCCGGAAATGGTTGCAGCCACGCGCGCGAAAGAACCGGCTTCCCCGACATCGCCCGAATCTGTCATCCACCCCTCTACGCGTGCCCTCTCCTTCTCGCGATAATAATTAAAATCGGCATCCGTAACGCATCGCGCACGGACCATTAAGTGCACAATACGCGTATCTGCATGGGACACAATTAAGAGCGGGGTCGAGGTAGCCGTTTTGCATGGATGTGCGCGTTTCGCGTGTCACCGCGCGCATCGCGCACGTGGGGTAGGAAAAATAGGCGAAGCCGAGGTGAAGCGGGGGCAGAAGCAGTGAAGGGTGGGATGCCATGTCCCTCTCTTTCCACCCCGGTTCGTTTCGTTCTCAGAACTTTTTCGGAAAAATCCCCGCCAAGGTCGCGACCTCCTTCCTCCACCCTGACCTCCTCGCCAGAGGGGGGACCAGATGGTGGAGGCCCGTTTGTCCGGGCCCGTCTCGTCGGCACGACAATGCCGACTAAAAATTCATTTTTCCCCAACGAGAATCGCTCTTTCTCCCTCTGTCCAGTTGACCGTTTCCACTTCTTCCTTATCTCTTTCTCTCTCTCTCTCTGTCTCTTTCATTCTTAAACCCCTCGATAGATTTGCGTAATGGCCGATCGCCTCTCTTCTCCCCTAAGTCATATTAATGCACGCGTGTGCGCATACTAATTCAGACGAATTTTCGGCAACGGTATCGATGTGTGCCCCGTTAAATGACGCGGTTCTCGAATTTCAGCTGCGCGCGCGCGCGCGGGGAAAACTTTTATGGCCCCTGAGACAAAAACCGACTCGTGCTATGGAAATCGTCCTGGAATAAATCATTGCCGTCTCTGACAGCGCCGAATTCGCATTACCAGAATGCGACGAATGCCGAATGTTATATTTTAGTGAGAACCGATACGTCTATCCGATTGTGTTATTTATCGCCTCGTATGTCACTCTCGATAGTAGTTTTAAGTAATTTATTTCTTTGCGTGCCATTAATTATTGAGTTAAAGAATTATAGTATGTACAATTAATTACCTTGATAATTTATTAATTAAACGAAAAATTGCACAGCTTCACATCATTTCAAAAACTAAATATAATTATTTTCGAAAATACATGTACATATAATTTACATTTGAACCTGAGTTTCCTAAGATATTCCTAAGACTTTTTTCTTCCTAGAAAATTATTCTGATTCCGCGTTTGTTTTAAAAACATTTTAAAATTATTTAAATGTCACATAAAGTCTATAGAAACTTTTGTCTGATAATTTTTTGGAAAAAATATTGACATTCCAAATATTATTCGGTAAGTAAAGATTGCACTGAGTAAGCAGAATTATTATTTTATGACACAGCAAGGGCAATTTCGTGTGGGCGGAAATGCAGCGTGCATGTTTGTTCATCGTGGAGGGATGGGCACACCGGTGTGCTGCGAAATGTGTTGCTGGGAAGCTAGGCAGGTCAGAACGGCTGCATGTTCAGCTATCGAGAGTGTGGTCATTGCGGCAACAGCTGTCCTTTCGGACTGTCCTTTCGATCGGACTCGAGTGCTGACGAAGAAAGAATTGTCGAAAGTTTTTTGCGACGCGTCTAAAACAATTTAATGAAATTTTACCGATCTTTACCGATTTTTCAATTGCGATTTATATCTTCGATCGTTTAATCTTTGAAAAGACGGCAATCTCTGAACGAACATTTGAATATTATAGCTTTTTGTTATCTTCAGAAAACTAAACTTTTAGAAACACGCGATAATTTAAGATCGTGTTAGTCGGAAACCATTAAAATGTATTGTGTGCCATGAAACGGTCATATTTCTAATGGAGAGATTTCGAGATAAATATTTATGGGACATTTCCGTGAAACAATTCCGCAGTTATTTGCGACTCATTCTCAAGGAAAAGTCTCGCAATTGCGTCATTACCAGGAAAAAAGATCAGTTATTACACAACGAGATCAAGAGAGAGAGAGAGAGAGAGAGAGAGAGAGAGAGAGAGAGAGAGAGAGAGAGAGAGAGAGAGAGAGAGAGAGAGAGACAGAAAAAGAGAGAACACCTGATAGAAACCATATTTATTATAATTATAACAAATCAGCCCATTATATTCGGATATACCTTATCGAGACCTGCGTGATAACGGGGAAGTTCGCGGGTAATGCGTTTTCTCAAGCTGCAAAGGCACGAAGTTTGAAACAGTTTTCAAGGAGGAACTTTTATCTCGGACTCGATGTCCGCGGTGTTTACCGACTAGATTAAGTAATCTCTTAGTTAAATAATCCGAGTATGCTATATAATTATATGTAGTTTATACATATATAAATCGGGGGGCCGTTCATCGAATATTCGAGTGGATCGAGCTTGGTCATTTCGCAACCCCACAGCCCAAGACGGTTGGGCGAGGGATCGATCGTTATATTGATATATCCGCGGAACATTTACGAGATGCGCGCTATATCTCATCATTAAAAGTTAAAAGTTATTTAAAGTCTATGCAATGCGTTGGCTGTGTATACGATTGTACTTTTTGTTACGGGTTATACTGTGTCCACCCCTGAGTTGGTTGGCGATTTTCTCTGCACATTGATACCCCAATACCTCCGTTACTATTGTATCACGCTCTCGCCCTCTTGGCTGTACACGTCGCGACGATAATTAGCGGTCTAATTAGCACCGCACGACGATTTTTCGGAGTCTAGTGTACTCTATGTATGTATGATAAATACATCTCTAAATTTGTCTTATCTTTGAAAAAATTCTCTTCTTATTTCACGTAAATATATATATATATATATATATATGTGTATATATATATATATATATATTTATATTTATATTTATATAAAATATTGACTAGAACAGTCACGAAAGAACAAGTCGATAAGTAAATGAATTTAATACCGATCGAATGATCGCGCTCGGTCTTACGCGCGATTTTTTTCTTTTTTCTTTGGTTCACTTGAGCAGAAGCAAAATCGTTGAAGCAAGAAAAATGGACGAAATAAAATGCGAAGCGAAGAGAGTGAAGGCTTCCCGATGTCGAAGAGCCTATCGCGTTTAAAATAGGAACTTTGTCGATCACCCGTTCGTATTTTAATTAATTATGATTAAGTATTTACAAGAGCATATAACGAGTCTGTTGAAAAGTCTTCTCTTTCGAAGGAGATCTTTTCGGTCTGCTAAATTCGTCATCCCTCGAAAATCATTTCGAAATAAAATACGTGCAAACGAGTATTCCTACTCCACGTTGCTTCAGGACGATCTCTCGTATTATGAATCGATGACGTGTCACCAAAATACGAACAATCTCGTGTTATGGCAACGAGCTGTTTGACACGAAATTCCGTCAAATGGGATTATTTTCTTACAAAGATAATATTGCACAATAAAGAATGGATCTTGAAGCAATTAACGTCTAAGAAAATTATTTAAAAAATTTCTATTTATTGTTTTCTCAGACACTGAATGGCTTCAAAATCATTTTTTATACGATGCAAAGTTAGCTTTAGAGGAGAAGAATAATCTCATCTGCCCGGTCATTATGTTTATTTGATTATTTTTACTTTATTTCGCAACCTATTAATTCGCACACCGAAGGACTTACTTAATACTTCGATAATAGGAAAGCCTGCAAAAATCGCTAAAGATACGTAAAAATTAATGGAACATCAAAATATTATAGTGCAAATAACACTTGCCGTTTGGCTGCTCGTCTTACATGATAAATAGGAACCGATACCACGTGCTCAGGTCGCAGATGCAGATGCTGCCACTCGTATTCTTCCAAGATGCTTACGCGAAGTAACACGATCGCGATCTAAACTCAGGCGGGGGTGAGAGTGAAGGAGGCGGTCAGGGAGTTGCTGATTCTGGACTTGACCGGCAAGTAGACCAGAGCCGGCGCGAATTTCTTCGCCGAGCTAGACTCGGCACCCACCTGCATCAGATCCTGCTCCTCGATCAGGAACGGTTGCATAATGGTCTTGTCGGGATTTGAATTCATGTCCTGCGGCATCGCGTAACAGGCTGGCATCTTCTGCTTGTTCGCTACATCTTTCAGGGTCTTGCTGAGCTCGGCAATCACGCTTTCCGTCGGATCGCCTATCGCCTTGTGATCTTTCCGCACGTGCTTCTTGATGCGATTCAGATTTGTCGTCGCATAACCGCATTGGGCGCATTTGTACACACCCTGAGGAGTCACCTTTACTGTAGTTTCGTCCTGCCGCTGGTTTTTGGCGGGCTCGGGGATATTCCGATCGGTGTGTGGACTGCATTCCACACGATCATCTTTCGTATCCTGATCAGTTCTGTTCTTGGTGTCGCTCGCCTTGATATCGATATCCGATCTAAGATTATTTATGAGAGGATGTTGAAATTGCGATAACAGAGAGGGGAATTGATGCTTGGCAAGCAGATGCTGATGAAGCAGCTCCGGTTGATGAAAGTCGTGCGAGCAGATCGGACATTGTAATGCTCGATCTCCTTCGAGATTTTCCTGTTGATTCACGTGGGATCGCTCGTGAAGAAAGAGAAAGGGTAATACAGGGGTCGTAAAGTTGCAGTAGCCGCAGCGATAATTTTTCTTTAATTGAGACTCCTCGGATGAGGAACCGAAAAGATTCGATAGCATTTGATTTCCCAGACTCGTGTAATCGACAGGCTTGATTTGTTGGGTAACCTCAAAACCATTGGGAATTTTTAGGTTTGATGTTTGTTGCGTGTTCTTCGTCGAAGCAACGCTTCTGCCGCAGGTTCTGGACGTCGCTTGATACTGTTGTTCCAATTCGCGCCATTTGTCGATCCCCGCTTTCCCGTGGTCGCCCATTAAGTGCGCCTTCAACCATTTGATGCTGCGGAACCTCCGACTGCAAATTGGACATACCTCGGTGAAATGAATGAAATATCTGTGACTAAGATCGCCCAATTGTTCCGGTTTCAGTGCCGACTCCTCGGCGCTAGGAACATCATAAGACTCCTGTTTGTTGTTCGACGCCGATGACGACGTGTTATCATCGATGATTCCATGAGTATTATGCTTGTGAACTCGCAGAAAGTATTTGCTGCAAAGCTCCTTGTTGCAAATGTTGCAGATGACGCCGCCGATCTGTGCGCCGTTTTCGATCTCAATGCCGTGCATCCGCTGCATATGCGTCTTCATGAAATACTTATTGCACAGCTCCTTGTTGCATATCTCGCAATAGCTCGATGTAGGAGTTAGTGACGTTACCTTCTTTTCTGTCATCGTTGTTGCTTGGCCACTTGGAGTCTGACTGGTCGGTGTCGAACTAGCGGAAGAGGCAATTACCGTTGGCGGCAATGCCGGCAGAGTAATAGCACTGGATACGATGGGCTGATGTTCCTCGCTAATATGTCTCCTTAATGCATCTTGATTAGGATAATCCTTCTCGCAGAGAGTACAGAGAATAGTCGAAATGACTATTGGTGACTTTTGCGGCGACATCGAGGATTCATCACCGGTGATACCGTGTTCGGTCGCCATGTGAACGCGTAAGGCTGACCTCGAATCACATTCTCTACCGCAGGCAGCGCAGGATAATCCCTTACCGGAATCTAGACCATTCAGCTGCATGATCATCGTCTGCAGCTTCTGAAGGTCTTCTGAGATCGAATCGTTACGCTGATCAGAGCCGTCTAAGTCGTACTCTTGTTTCGGCGAGCCGCTCTCCTCGCCCTCGTGCATCTTCCTGCAATGCGCCTGATACAGATCGATCGTCTGAAAACGAATAGTGCAGGATTTACACTCGTATTCCTCGCTGCCGCGGTCATTAGATTCCGCACTCGTAGCAGCTTCAGACACGATCAAGTTCAGTGGACTGGTTTGCACCTGGTGCCAGGTGTTGACAGTAGTGCCGGAACTGCCGGGCGATTGCTCGCTGTCCTGCACGACAACGCCGTGCCGTTTCATCTTGTGCGTGCGTAGGAAGTACTTATTGCAGTACTCCTTGCAGCAGATTTCGCAAAATGCCTCGGGATTTATGACCCCAAGTCGGCGCAGAAGATCAGCGCTGAAACCAGAATCACGTGCTTGTTGGATGGACTGGGGCGAGAGATGTCTAGGGGCCGGCATAAAGGTCGCGTCTTCTTGCTCGATGCCATATGATTCCTGCTTCAAGAGCGCTTCTATATCGCCGGGACTGTCGTGCGACGTCATTCGATCCTCCTCGCTCTGCATAGAGATCTGCTGGCCATCTGACTGCTGATCCACAGGTGACTCGTTGTGCGTTTTTTGCTTGTGCTTCTTCGTAGAATCCTCGTTACGGAAACGTTTCTGCGGCGGAGTCGCCGGCGGCTCCAATTTCACGCTCGCGTTACTCGCGTGGAAGTTCACGGCACCGAATACGCTGCCGCCAGCGACATTGATGGGGTCCATAGCCGTTGGCGCTGGCGAGTCAACGTAGATTCCGTGCTTGTTGGCCTTGTGTGTCTTCAGGAAATACTTGTTGCAAAACTCCTTATTGCACATATCGCAATACGCGTCCGGATTGAAGATCTTGACCGGCACAGGACCGAGGGAGGATCTAGGGAGTTGAGGATCGGTCAGGGGAAAATTTGGTAGGGGTAGATACTGCGCGAGGGTGCCCGGAAAACTCGAAAGAGCCTGTAAATGATTCGTCATCGTGACGATTTGATTGACCGGGCCGCTCGACCACGATTCATCGCTCTGTGACTGCATCTGTGTCTGCGATTGCACGTGCTGCTGGTTGCTGGACGCCAACCACGTGGTCGCGAAGTTCTTAACGCTTAAAAGACTAATGGGACTCTCATTAGTTGGATCCAGCTGCTGCGCCGGCTCTACCTTGATGGTGACAGCTGGCGTTGCCTGATTTGCGTCACCGTGCTCGCCATCCACGTGGACATTGAGCGTCTCGTCGCTGTCGAAGAGCCGGCCGCAGTGCTGGCAGCGGAACTCGTTGTTTAGATTCTCGTCTTTCGACGACGGCGAGTGATGGTGATGGTGAAGGTGGTGGTGGTGGTGGTGGTGATGTTGTTGGTGGTGGTGATGGTCGTTGCTCAGCAACGGCGATCGCGACGACAGCTTACCTTTGTCTTCGTCTTCGCGCTCGTCCTCGCGCACATCCTCGTGCACGTCCGCAAGACCAGACGAGACTCTTACCGGCGTGGTCTGCTTTCGACGCTTCTTGGGTCCGGTGTCGGCGGAATCACCGCGAACGCGCTTCCAGACGTCGCAGCTCGAACCGTCGCTGTCCGGTTCCGTCGTCTCCATCGCCGCCGTCGTCGTGGGGTCTTGCGACGATGTCATACTCGACATCTCGGTGGATCTCACGCGACCAGCCCGTACTTCCTTAGACGTTGCCCGTCTGGCAAGGAACAGACAAATTTCCCGTGTTTAAAAAGTTTCTGAAAACGGTACGATCTGGTATTTGATAAAGTTTTTGTGAAAAAGAAATTCATAGAATAATTCTCCATAAAGCTTATCTTTTGCCACTTTTCTTGATACAAAAACACACTTCGTAACAAATTAAACTTACGTTCAAACGTATATTGTGTGTTTAGATTTAATTGTAAATTAGAGATAAGTAATGTAATTTTTTTTTTATTATACCTTGAATTTTATTAATAAAAATTTTGTTGAAAATTGTTATGTAAGTATTTATATAATATCTTCTTGATACGTGAGAATTGCGAAGTTTAAAATTTGTACTGTCTATCCCTTTATAAAAAACGTAGATTATTTATTATATTTTCTAATGAAATAATTAACATGTCATATAAGAGCATCATAGCAAAAGTATTATATAAGAACATCGTAAGAAAGATGATTTTTCGCATAAATATAAATTTCGAATATGTTGTCTCGCGAGCGCAGAAAATCGCGAATGCTCGTTGAAGGCGACACTAATTCGGTAGGCAGATTATAATGATTTCGCTCGACCGATCTGGAGGAAAAGGGGGAGTTGGGGTCGGTTAACGAGCACTTCGTGCTGCAGGAAGACGCACGCGAAACTTGACGAACGAGACACGGTGAACGAGACACCCTCGCTCGCGTACGATGGACATGCGGTCTCGAAAAAGGGAGATCGGGGGATATCGGACGGGAGAGGGAAACAGGGTGGACACCCTCTCATGACTCATATTATACGTCCACCCCCCCCCCGTATTCAGGGAATTCGGAGGATAGTACGAATATGCATTTCAGAAAGCGCGGCGTAATTACTAATTCAGGATGACAGCCTTATATCGCGAATATAATGTAAGTGGACGATATAACGGTCAGTGAACTCTGAACGATATTCTGCCATTGTGTCCGACCGTGCGTGATATGCGCGTGAGAAAGATCGCGTGAGTTGTGCGTGCACAAGTTCGAAAACATTTCAACGCAATAATTCTTATGCTTAGACTCCCTGTTATCACAATCGTCAATGTCGCAAAGGAAATGAAAATTACTGTAGAAGTTTGTCGACTATCTTCTGCGATCCATCGTTTCGTATTTATATGCTTGTTATAAACAGAATGCTTGTTACAAATATATAGAACATAATAGTTAATTAAATTAAATTAAATCTTCTTTATAACAAGGTTTAATTTATTGAGGGTTGAGAAACAGAGCAAATTTTTTATTTCCGGATTATATAAAAATCTACAAAAAATCTAGTATTATTCTTGTCAAAGTTTTAACGAATTTTTACCATCATAAAAATTAAATTGTATTTTATTTATTCTTTATTGGTTTAAATTTTATCTATCAAAATTTATAATTAAAATATCGATGATGCCTTTAAACTCCAATTATTGGCGGAGAGTTAATTAATTATTACGTTCTGGATATTTATTTTATATGTAATAATTTGATTTAATTAAATTTATATATATTAATTAGAATAATTATATTAATTCAAGCTCATGTGATAAAATGTTTCTAAATGACTGTGTTCGCACAGTTTTTGCTTTGAACCTCCGAAATTGTGTGAAATGCTAAAATTATTATGATAAAGATTGTAATCAATACTTCGTAAAGTTCTCACCCGCAGGATACAAAGATCCTCGTGCTTCAAACGTCTTCGTTTCATGACCGATGAACTGTGAAGATCGCTCCCGTGTTGAAACGTGACACTTTGAGTACTGTACGTTGTCGTTGTCATGAGTCACGCATTTCCCGCGAAAATTTCGCGACACTTTGCAAAACTTGAAACAGAGCACAGTCCGCGACAGGGCAATCGCCTCGCCTTCTGGCCGAAATGCTGTTATCGACACGTGGCGTCACCGAGGGTGAGTGAACTGGGTGGACCTCGGACGTTGCTGGTCAGCCTCACCCTCTCCAGCGGAGATATTTCCATTTTCGCCGTCGCCGGACTCTCCCTTTCACGAGAACGAGAAGATTGAAGTTGCCGTTCAAAACTTCCTCATTCAATATCGATCTTCATCGGATCGGGGCTCGCGAAGAGACGCGAAATCCGTGGTAGAGCGAAGCTGACTGCAAGATAACGTTAAGACGCGATAGCACAGAGAGTGAATTGGGAGGATATGTAAATTGACAGTTTGAAATGTGATTTTTAATCGAAAGAGATCAAGTATTCGCGTGCCTTTGATCTCCGTGGCCCTCGGCAGCTTTGGAGATTCTGCAACGTTATTGTTAGCTATAGGTACGATTGCCTATGAAGGGTCTATCACGCCGTTTTTATGTCCCTACCACCTTCGGAGACTGCGATACAAATCTCCCCACCACCGCTCCGTCATCCCTGTATTTTGCTGTATTCTGCGGGTGAATAATTTCTGGATTTATCTGAGGGCGACGAGAACGCGTTCGCGTGGAAATATGTAATATTTTAAGGAAAATTTAACATTGTTACCATTTTTATATACGATTTATCTTCATGTCTTTCGTATTCGACATTATTAAATAATATCGCATTTATATCTTGATATATATAAAATAAGCAAATATTAACATTTTTATCATCGGGCGAGATGTCTAATAATTTTTTAATTTTATATAGTTTGTTATGCTTTTGAAACATGTGCTGATTATTATTCAATCTTGAAATATAATTTTGTGATAAGATTGGAAAATGTAACATAACATAATTGATAATCAATTTAGTATTACTGTAAAACTATTAAATACAATATTATTGATTATAAAACTATTAAAACAATATATTGTTTAAATTATTGTACTATGTTATCCTTTTATAAAAAGTTGATTTTCTAAGAAACTTAATTTTCTAAAAATCTAATTAGCAATTTTCTTCATGACACTTTTAAATGCCTGATATTTAAATTAGTAACACATCGTGTCTACACGAAAGAGAGTGTCTTAAGGAAAGAGATGAGTTCATTTTTATCAGAACATATTAAATTTTGTTAAATCAAATAAGTAATGATTACGAAGTTTATAAAGATATTTCGTGATAAAAGATTTATTAGTAAGAGAAACTGTAATACTTATCAGATAAATATAAAGATCCTTATGCTTTGATAAAGATTTGTGTTAATAATATATATATATATATATATATATATAGTGTACTATGTATTATGTATACCATGCGTGTTTTATCTCACTATTATTAGAAATTTATAGAAAAAATATTTATACACAATAGATGTAGAGAGATAAAGCTAATAACTATTGTATTCTTTCATGTCTTAATCAAAGTCCATTGAAACAGAAATATTTTTTCGATCACAGAGATATGCACGCAGAAGTGTATTTCTTCCTGTTCTGTCTTTATCCAATGTATCGTCTTACAACATATATGAAGAATTGCTTGTGATGCCGCATGAGAGAACGATTACGTTACTATTCGTAAACCGGCGATACATTCTTAGTTGTTTCGAGATGGTTTGAAAATGTGATTTGATAATGATAATTCTAATAATTTACAGCTCGATTAGTAATCGGAGCTCACATAGTATAGACAGAATATTTATCGAATATTCTATAGAATTATATATTTATATTTCTAACCATACATACTTTTAAATTATTTTGAAATTAAATCGTATGCTGCCGAAGTTTGCAAATTAAAATCTATTAATTTTTATATTTTTAATATTATAATAGTGTAAATCATTTATATAAATTTTTCAATTTAACTGTGTTTCAAAAATATAAAATATTGTGTTCCAAAAATATATTAAATATTCTATTATAAGTTCTCTTTCATTTATTACAGCTTTATTATAATTATGCAAAATTATATAATCAAACTAGCTATTCCATTAGTTTTGACAATTATATTATAAAATATGCACGTTTTTTTAATAGAAAACGCTTTTAAATATTTAAAATGCAACGATCGCGGAATTGTTTTTCACTTTCAGTTTGTCTAAAAAGAACAGCAGTTATTATTTGCAGTTAGTGCATGTGCGACGGGGCGGAAATTGGATTATGCGAGGGTTGTAAAGCAATCGCTGACGCACGTCAGCGCGAGAGATAGGTAGAGGTACAGGGGGAGATTGAGGCTTTCGCGAAACCCGCGTATTCTCTGCGCAACCTTTGACAGATTTTCCAAAAATACGCGTAAATACGCCCGTATGTTGGCATACGTATGTTCGCGTGAGGCCAGGAAACTCCGACATTGTGGAAATTCACTGTCGAAATTGGATGAATGATGGAGAGGGGCAGTGATCCTATTCGGTGGGGTAGTTCTATGTTCGCGAAAGGGTGTCGGCGAAAAACATCGAAAGAAAGGGGAGAAGAGAAGAAAAGAAAAGAGAAAAGAAGAGAGAGAGAGAGAGAGAGAGAGAGAGAGAGAGAGAGCAAACTAAGATGAAACAAAACTTATTGTAATATTATTACGCGTGCACCGTTCGTCAGATTTTCTTTGACTTGTGTGGGTGTGCGAACGCGTGGGTGTTGAACGACAAACAACGTTGCACCCCTGCGAAATAATGGATGAACGAACGTCAAGGATATTTTCGTAGGGCGTTCTCATTGCAGTCTGACCGACGACGGTAAAATTCATCGGTGGTTCAATAATTCTAATAAACAACCAGCTTGAGTAGTTCGGGTGAGAAACGATATATTGTCTCGTCGAGTTACATTGAAATGAAAGAGCTAAAGAATTTTATATGTCGAGAAGAGAGAGAAAGAATTTTATACCCGTTTATATATGAAATTGTTGTCATGACTTGACATTGATTGCTCTATTTTTTAAACCACAAAATTTAACGTATTATATCATATTGAAAGACACATTTCTTTTACGGCACTGCTAACGAGAAGTCAAATATCATCAGAAAAATTTTGTGTCAAATTAAAAGTAAAAAAAT